ATCGGGAAGATTGGTTGTCATGGAAAAGTCCTTTTTCAAAAGTGCAATAATCCACGTTGCGAGAACCAAGACCTCCTACAGGATAGGGAAACGGATTCATGCTAACACTAGCAGCCCAGCTGCCCTTCGATAGCTCAGTTGGTAGAGCGGAGGACTGTAGAGGTCTACGAAGTCATCCTTAGGTCGCTGGTTCAAATCCGGCTCAAAGGAAAAGCAAAGCTTCTTTTTGAAATACATGCAACTCAAGCAAGAGATTAAAACCATGGAAAAGATTTGTCATGAACGGCATTTTACGCTCAAGTTTGCCTTTGTTAAGTCAGCAGAATGCAGAACATACATGCTCACCCGTTGGCTGGATTGAATGACAAAAGCTGCCCTCTCTGAGGATCGAACTCAGGACCTTCAGATTATGAGACTGACGCGCTGCCTACTGCGCTAAGAAGGCTAGAACAGCAAAGCTGTTTGGAGGGTGTTCAACGTGTGGCGAAACACTAACAAAAGCCAATAATCAAACATGCTTTTTTAGTATGTGCAAATCAGCAAATTATGCTCATGCAATAAATTACTCCCTGACGCATCTTGCTTCATGTGTCCTCAACCTCCCTGAAGTTTCATACCAAAACAACAAGCCACTTCCAATCCAAGTCTTTGCTCACAAACTATCGGGGAAGATTGGTTGTCATGGAAAAGTCCTTTTTCAAAAGTGCAATAATCCACGTTGCGAGAACCAAGACCTCCTACAGGACAGGGAAACGGATTCATGCTAACACTAGCAACCCAGCTCACCTTCGATAGCTAAGTTGGTAGAGCGGAGGTCTGTAGAGGTCTACGAAGTCATCCTTAGGTCGCTGGTTCAAATCCGGCTCGAAGGAAAAGCAAAGCTTCTTTTTGAAATACATGCAACTCAAGCAAGAGATTAAAACCATGGAAAAGATAAGATTTGTCATGAACGGCACTTTACGCCTCAAGTTTGCCTTTGTTAGGTCAGCAGAATGCAGAACATACATGCTCACCCGTTGGCTGGATTGAATGACAAAAAGCTGCCTCTCTGAGGATCGAACTCAGGACCTTCAGATTATGAGACTGACGCGCTGCCTACTGCGCTAAGAAGGCTAGAACAGCATAGCTGTTTGGAGGGTGTTCAACGTGTGGCGAAACACTAACAAAAGCCAATAATCAAACATGCTTTGGCGAGGCCGTGCAAATCAGCAAATCGTTCAAATGCAATAACTTACTCCCCGACGCATCTTGCTTCATGTGTCCTCAACCTCCCTGAAGTTTCATACCAAAATAACAAACCTCTTCCAATCCAAGTCTTTGCTCACAAACTATCGGGGAAGATTGGTTGTCATGGAAAAGTCCTTTTTCAAAAGTGCAATAATCCACGTTGCGAGAACCAAGACCTCCTACAGGACAGGGAAACGGATTCATGCTAACACTAACAACCCAGCTCACCTTCGATAGCTCAGTTGGTAGAGCGGCGGACTGTAGAGGTCTACGAAGTCATCCTTAGGTCGCTGGTTCAAATCCGGCTTGAAGGAAAAGCAAAGCTTCTTTTTGAAATACATGCAACTCAAGCATGAGATTAAAACCATGGAAAAGATAAAATTTGTCATGAACGGCACTTTACGCTTCAAGTTTGCCTTTGTTAGGTCAGCAGAATGGAGAACATACATGCTCACCCGTTGGCTGGATTGAATGACAAAAAGCTGCCCTCTCTGAGGATCGAACTCAGGCCCTTCAGATTATGAGACTGACGCGCTGCCTACTGCGCTAAGAAGGCTAGAACAGCAAAGCTGTTTGGAGGGTGTTCAACGTGTGGCGAAACACTAACAAAAGCCAATAATAAAACATGCTTTGGCGAGTCCGAGCAAATCAGCAAATTATGCTCATGCAATAAATTGCTCCCTGACGCATCTTCCTTCATGTGTCCTCAACCTCCCGGAAGTTTCATACCAAAACAACAAACCTCTTCCAATCCAAGTCTTTGCTCACAAACTATCGGGGAAGATTGGTTGTCATGGAAAAGTCCTTTTTCAAAAGTGCAATAATCCACGTTGCGAGAAGCAAGACCTCCTACACGACAGGGAAACGGATTCATGCAAAAATTAGCAACCCAGCTCCCCTTCGATAGCTCAGTTGGTAGAGCGGAGGACTGTAGAGGTCTACGAAGTCATCCTAAGGTCACAGCTTCGATGGAAAATTAATGCTAATGTTTAAATTGCAATGTTGTTTTCTTGCTTTTTGAATTGTAAAAACACTTTCCTTTTCCCAAATATGTGAAATAGAAGAGACGAGTTGCTGAAATTTCCATACCCAGTTTGTTTTTCATTCCCAGTATGTTACAAGGTTGTGCCAGTGTTTACACGTACCTATACACACAGACATATTTCATTATTTTCAACATTGATTTTTTCATTATTAGCTGGAGTGCATATACAGAAATAGGTGTTATTTTTTGGAATGTTGTTTTATTCATCAACCGTAAACATATATAAACAGAAACATTTGTATTTCATGAAATGTTGATATTTTGTTTTTTAATAATAAGTTGATACTTAGCACTAATAATTACCACACACTGGAATTCAATTTTTTCTGGTTTTCTGTAGCATTAGTAGATTGAGTGTCAACATAGCTTCCTGTTTTCTAACTCTTGTAATGTAAGTCAGTGACCAGCAGGTGGAAACAGCAGAGCAGGTAGTTTTCAAAGTTATCCCATTCAAACTCATCATTACCTGAGGGATGATTTGTGTAAGATGGTGTATATTTGATTTTACACCATAGTCTTATTTTGTATAGAAGCACAATCAGGTTTTTAAGAATAACATACAATTGTCATGAAAAAGCATACAATTTTTCTGAGGTGTTATCTGTGCCAAAGGGTAAAACCAAATATGTTTGGCATATATGTTGTGGGTTTTATTTTACATGAAGGCTCTAATCTATGCAAGACAGGTGGATAAGGAAATACCTGATTGTGTAATGCCTTGGCATCAATCACTGACACAGAGAAAAGAATGCAAAGTGGCCCTCACTGTCTATGTTGTGCAAGAGACTAGAGACATTGCATAGCAAAGATATGAAGTAGAGGTGTAAACTCTGAGGCTAACCCAAGTGACATTCTGTGTGGATTGTTCTTAATATTCCACCTCCCCCTAAATAACGTTCCAGGCTTGGTCCTGCATCAAACTGCCATGAGTGTAGGAGAAGTGTGAGTGCCCTCTTAGCTGAGGTCCTTTCACAAAGGTCTGTGACTGGAACATGCAGGAAGGGGAATGAAGGGAATTTTGCGTTTAGGGATCATTCCACTGGGATTTTCTGCGTTCCCTGAGTTTCGGGAGGAATCTAGCAAACCTAATACAGCACTCTTCAAAATCTGCAGGGAGTGCAGTCATTGGATTGGTTATCAATCACTAAGAAATCCCCTTTGAACTATCAGAAGCACTACTTTCATAGGCTCTTAGAAAACAATTATAACCACCAGTCATGATTACTTTGAACTGCATACCATCAGTTTGGTGAGAATCTAGATTTTACAATATATTCTTTAGTTGTGTAATTTTAAAATTGTATTTTTATTAATGTTTGTTATTGACTGTTTACAGTATGTTTTGCCAATAACGCACTTGCCAACAATTAACTTAAACTGTGAATAATACTAACACTACAGCTGTAGTCCCATTCAATTTCTACAAAATGTTTGGTATTAATATTTATATTTAACATTCCTGAACATGTTTCCTGTAAAGAAGTATCAGCTATACTATAACTTCCACCCCTGTTTCAGTAGAATAATATTGCACTAGTGG